AAACCCAAAAGAGGTTAGCGTGTGGCGCCGAAGCGTGGTGGACCAAAACCAGCAGCGCGACACGCTAAGCCAAAGTTCCTGGCCGTAAGTCCCTCAACCTTGGGCGACCCCCGTTCACAGACAGCGGAGATCGCTCCAGGTTGGCCCGATTTCAGCTGCCGCTGGCCCCTCAGACCCAGACCACTGCGCGCTGGCGTCGCCGCCGCCGCCGCGCCGACGCGGCGCCGACCTCTCGCACCTTGGGTCCAAGACCAGCCGTGGCCAGGGCCGCTGCAGGCGTGCAGGCGCACAGCCGGCGTCCTCGAGCGGTGCGGTGAAGGCATCGGAGAGGCAAGCCGTGGATACAGAATCCAGGGTCTGGAAGCCGCGGGAACGCCACTCATGGATTGGCCCCCAGGGTCTGAAGCCTCCTGGACACGTTCGTTTACCCGCGCCCCCACCGTACCTTGGGGGCGGCCAGGCCCTGCCCTTATCACGCCGCAGGCCGCTCGCGACCTGACAGCGGGCACGCCCGTCAACGGCGGCGACCACGCCAAATAATGCAGGAGGAGGATGTCGTAATGGGAGTGGCTCAGGATGCGCTCAGGGATTTCCAGAGTATCTAGTGGCCCTCGTTTCTGCAGCCCCTGTGGAAGCACATCTACGAAATCCTGGACACCGAGGAAACCTTGAAACGCATCAGAATCATGATCTCTTGCTCCCCTGATACCGTTGCCCCCAGAGGGAAGTGCGGGGTCACACAGCGTCGAATCTTGAAATCGGGTCGGATCGGAGTGAGCACCGGTTCGAGCCGCATCGGCTCGGAGCCGGAATCGAATCGGATCGCCAGCACGATAGCGACGTGCAAGCAGCGGGCCGCACTGGATCGTCGGAACATCGGAATCGGATCGGATCGGGCTGGCCGGAATCGACATTGGTTCGGATCGATCCGAACGAAATGGATCCTGACCTCGGTTTTCGGGCCCTAACACCTAACACGGGTCTCCGGCGGCCGTTCGGGACGATCCGGGTACCCCTGGAGCGCCCTCGCTCGGCGAGGCGCAGCTGCCGAAACGGATCCCGAGGCTGGAAGACCCACAAGAACTATCGACAACGACCGAAATCTGGACGCCTGAAATACAAACAAAATGCACACGATATCCGACAGCACTTATGGTCCAAAACTGACAGCGGCCTCTGTTGGGCAGGCGGCTTTTTGTCTCAGATGGACAGCGCCCGCGGTGGCACCGACAGCGAGCCCTGCTCAAAATGGACAGGAATTGCTGTGAGCCTTCGCCCCCGTCCTTTCCGTACCAAGTCCTATCGTACCGCTGACTACTGGCGCCGAGAAACGGTGAGGACGGTCCGCTCCTGTAGCCGCGCGGCGCGGCCGCCTCCGCCCGCCGCCGACGGCCGCACGGCCCCCCCGCGCCCCCCCCCGCCGACCGGCAGCCGGCGCCGCGGCTGAGGTTGGCTCGGCGAGAGGCAGCGGGAGGTGGCCGAAGGAGGGAGATCCTCATCATCGTCCTCCTCCTCCTCCTCCTCCTCCCTCCTCCTCCTCCTCCTCCTCCTCCTCCTCCTCCCCGCCTCACTCCTCCTCCTCCTCCTCCTCCTCCTCCTCCTCCTTTTCCTCCTTTTCCTCCTCCTCCTCCTCCTCCTCCTCCTCCTCCTCCTCCTCCTCCTCATCCTCCTCCTCCTCTTCCTCCTCCTCCTCCTCCTCCTCCTCCTCCTCTTCCGTCTCCTCCCCCGGGGCCTTCTCCTCGGAGGGGGCCCAGAGGAAGAGGAGAAGGAGTAGGCCCAGAGGAGGTCGAGGAGGGAAAGGAGGCCACAGGAGTGGCAGAGGAGAAGGGCGCCAAGATCGTTTGCTGAAGACCACTGCCAGCAAACCTCTAAGCAAGCCCAGGGTTCACTGACAGGATGAAAAGGGACCGCAAAAGCTCGTCGAGTGGTTAGTATCAACCAATGGGGCACTCGGGGCTACGCTCCCACCGACTCCGCCCACTCGCGCGAGAAAGTCTTACAAGAGCACTCCCAACATCTGCGAACTGGGGGAGCGCCAAGATGGGGACGAGGGAGAAGGAAGAGGAGGAGGCCCAGAGAATCAGCAAAAAGAGGAGGAGCCAGAGGCCCACAGCTCCCCTCCCCTGCCCTCCCCCCCGTTCCCTCCGTTTCCCCCTCTCCCTCTCCCTCCCTTTTGTCCCCCATCCCTCCCCCCCCCGACCTCGCGTCGCGTCGCCCCTGCTCCACCCACCCACCCCCTCTTCCCCCACCTCCCCACTCCCTCCCCCCACCTGGGCTGCGCGGAACGGGCCCGAGGAGAGAGGAGAGAGGAGAGAGAGAGAGAGGCGAGCTAGGTGGGTGCGCGCGCGCCATGTCTGACATCCTGCCCCTCTCACACATCATGTCACATTGCGCTGAATACGGTCTATCCGCCGACTGGTGTCCTAGCGGACATGGATCCCCCAAGTGACCCCATCGTGTGATGCGCAATCAGAAGGGGGAGCTGTGTTCAAATTAGAGGGGGAGGACAGGGAGGAGGAGGAGGAGGAGGAGGAGGAGGAGGAGGAGGAGGAGGTGGCGGATGAGCAGGGGGGAGCAGAAAGCAGAAGAGGAGGAGCAGCAGCAACAGGAGCAGGAACAGGAGCAGCGTGAGGAGCAGGAGGACCCAGAGACAGCGGCGGAGTGAAAAGGAGAGGGGGCGACAACGACGAGGAGGGAATCGGATCTAAAAAAAGGCCCGCGCAGGGGCGAGAGTCGCGAGCAAAGCCTGAATGACGGGAGAAACCGCCGATTCTGAAAGAGTTCAGCGCTGCAGCAGAAACCCAACTCTGACAAACCGAAACATTCCGATCGAAACAGCATGCATAAACAAACGTCGGAACCCAATGCGCTTTGACAACTCGTTGGCCCCAGCGGGCCAGAGGTGTGAAAGCATCTCATGTAACAGGTGAATTGCATGCATGGGATAGATATGTGTACATATATATATATATACATATATATACACATATATATACATATAAATATAGAGAGAGAGATCCCAAGCAGCGCTTGCACTTACAGACAGGCTCCGGTTTCTCTTAGGATTTGAGTTGCCGCCCCACTCGCGAAATCCTTGTCTCCTCGCTTTTCCTGGCGTCGCTCCCCCCCACCCCCCCACCCCCCCAAAAAAAACGCCCGCGCGCGCTTTCTCACCTGTTTGATATTTGTATGTTGCGTTCTTTTTTTCAAAAGACATCTGCCGAGGGCACGCGAAGACCCCCCCTGGGGCCTTCAGCAACTCAGGATCACCGACGCCACGGCCCTAGCGGGAAGACAGGCGGTCGGGACCCCAATGGAGGCCGCAGCCTCCCGAGTTGTTGAAGGTACTTGGGGGGCGGTTGTCGCGCGCCCTCGGCGGGTGTCACCCGAGGGGGAGTCCAAGTGCGGTGCGAATGAGCCCCTGCGCGAGGCGGGGGGAGTCTGAATGACTCCGTGCGAGTGAGCCCCTGCGCAGGGCGAGACCGGTTGGGTCTGGACGCGCATGGGGTTGGGATGTGACTGGGCCTGGGCATGTGCGGGTGTGGGCGCGAGTGATATTGGACGAGTGATTCTGAATGAGCGTGTGTCTGAAGGTAAGCGAGAACGAGCATGAGTGCGTCTACGTCTCCGCGGGGTCTGAACATGCACCAGCTCCGCGATTGTGTGCATGTATGGATACGAGTGAGGGTGAGTGTGGATAGCTCAGTTGAACAGGGCCTGACAGCGAGCGAGTCTGGGAACGCGCGAGATTCTGCGCGAGCCAATCTGAGAACCAGCAGGCCCGCAGTTCGGGAAGCCACGCCATGGCAAACATATTTTCCACGACCCGCACAGACCAGATGCGACGGCATAGCCGTCCCCTGGCAGAAGGGAGGCGGTCGCCCCGAAGCATTCCTGACGCGCTCCTCTTGGTCTGATGCGATTCTCGTTCCGGGGCCCATCATCGTCATCGTTGTCAGCATGGCCGCCATCGCCATCGTGGTCGCACCGTAGCCATAGGGGCCCCAAGATCTGGATCGCTTGCCTTCCACGGTTGTCTTCGTCGCGCCACTGAGATGCCCCCCGCGCGTGCTAAGGCGAAGGCCAAGGCAAAGCGGGCGACACAATTACACAATTGAAGCGAAGCAACGCACGACGCAACGCCAGGTTCGCTGCCGCGAGGACGCCCAACGCGCTCGCTGGGAAGATTAACTTACCAGGCAGCAGGGTGCCAGCCCCAGCTGCTCGGGACGAGGACGCGGAGCGTCTCGCGCGACTTCTGGAAGTCCGGTCCGGCTCGCCACAGCACAGGCCACGGAAGGCCTTCGCGCCGCCGCGCTGCAATGGACGGAGAATGGAGGCGCGTTCTCGGCACCGGCGCTGGACGAAGATCATTGCGCGCCGTCCCCCGTGGGTCGCCACCGCGTCCTGCTGCCGACTTTCAAGCTCAAGTCGAAAGCCTTCACGTTGACGCACAATGGGCAGCCCATCACGGCTGCGTCCTTCGGCGCTTTCAAGAAGTTCCCGATGGCCTTGATGACGCGCTTTGGAGCACGAGCGCGGGCTGCGCGCGTAGAGGGGGAGTCGCTGCACGCGCGGGGCGCAGGGCGACGCCATTTGCACGGGCACCTCTTGTGGACTGACGGAATTTGCCTCCATCTGCGCTCGTTGGACCCATTCTACTTCGAAGGAACGCGGCCCCGCGCGGATGCGCGCACTGCCAAGCTCGCCACCACGTCTCCGCACACAGCTGCCTGCCACGGGCCCTGACGCGCTCCTGTCAGAAAGGCTGGAACGCTGCACGCGGAGACGAACTATGCTGCGGGCCAGCGGCACAAGCCAAAAGTCCGATGGTTGGAAAGCTCGTTCGACAATGGCAAGATCGAGCTCGACAAGTACATCCACATGTCTGCGACCAAGTTCCCTGCGGCCATTCGATTCGAAAGAGGGCCGCGGAGAAGGCATTCCGAGACGCACGGCTGAGCAGCGCGCAGAACCATGCGCGGCAAGAGCTGGAGGGCATGAAAGACGCAGGCGCGCACGCCGAGCCTCGCGATTACCCCGTCGTGAATGACCTTGTCAAGGAGGTCGCTGGAAGCCCAAACTGGAGGCGCCCACTGCTTTTGATTGTCGGGGGCGCAAGCCCTGGCAAGAGCATGCGCGGTGGCTCCGTCTTGCAGAAGGTGGCGGGGGCCCTCGAGCTCCTGAAGAAGGAGTTCTTGGAAGTCACGGTGGAGGAAGATGGGCACTTAGACCTGGCCAGGTTCGACATGCAGGCGCACGGCGGCGTCTTGCTCGACGGCGTCGCCGACGCACTTCTGTTGAAAAAGTTCCGGGGGGGGCCCAGGGAAGGCCGAAAGTTGCGAAGGGGGCGCGCTCCGCCACCATGAACCACGCTCACGCCTGCACCTTTGCTCGCCGAGCCATTGTGGCCACCGTGGACCTCTCCGCCGACAACCTGCACCTGCTCCACACGGACCACTGGCCCTCAGAACCGCGCAATGTCAAGGCGCCCAGGCTCACTGGCCCGAGCTGGCAGAACGGCGACGACGACGCGGCAGCTGCGCAGCAGGCGCCCAGCAGGCACGACGAGATGAAGGCGTGGAGCGCCAAGACGGTTCCGGGTTATGGTTAGTGGGCCGGCTAAGCTTCTCTCCAGGAACGGCGTCAATGGCGCTGATCCGACTACGCTATGTGACCGGTCGTCAGCAGACGACCTGGGAATGTCGTCTTTCGCTGATAGAAAGGTCCCGAGAGCTAGGGGCGACTTCTCGGCAGGCGCCTGAGCCCCAGTTTTCTCGCTTCAACAGACGCCGCAGTGGGCGACCCTGGAATGTCGCCCTTCGCCGCCAGGCAGGTCCTCAGAGCTAAGGGCGACTTCTCGGCGGGCGCCTGAGCCCCAGTTTTCTCGCTTCAACGCGCGCCGCAGTGGACGACCTGGGAATGTCGTCCTTCGCCGCCAGGAAGGTCTTCAAAGCTGGGGGCGACTTCTCGGCCGGCGCCGCAGCGCCAGTTCTCTCGTTTCAGCAGACGCCGCAGTGGGCGACCTGGGAATATCACCCCCCCTCTCTCTCTCTTTCTCTCTCTCTCTCTCTCTCTCTCTCTCTCTCTCTCTCTCTCTATTCCCATATATATATATATATGTATCGCTCTCTCTCTCTCTCTTTCTCTCTCTCTCTCTCTCTCTCTCTCTCTCTCTATCTGTCGCTCTCTCTCTCTCTCTCTCTCTCTCTCTCTCTCTCTCTCTCTCTCTCTTTCTCTCTCTCTCTCTCTCTCTCTCTCTCTCTCTCTCTTTCTCTTTCTCTTTCTCTCTCTCTCTCTCTCTCTCTCTCTCTCCTCTCCTCTCTCTCTACTCTCTCTCTCTCTCTCTCTCTCTCCTCCTCTCTCTCACTCGCTGACCCCCTCTATCTCCCAGCCCCAACGGAGTCGCGCACCCGCGGGCGAACTTCCGAAAGACCGAGCCACCGAACGACCTCGCCCACGAGCGAACGAACAAGCGCGCCAGATGACGGGGGCACGAAAAGGAAACGAACACACGCACGCATAAGCGCCGGCGTTTTCACCCGCGCATGAGAAGGGAGCCGCGCAAATACACGATAATTCCCCGTAGCAATTTCGGCCCCAGTGCTCCACGAGTTGCCCCTGCGTCGAGCGCCGCCTTCTTCGTCGGCCGCCATGTCGGACCGGCAGGAGGTGCCGCGCGCAGCTTGGCTGGAAGGTCAGCAGGGGAAGCTGCCCGCGCAAGGAGCGGCTCGCGCCTGGGCTTTACGAGAGGCCTGGGCAGCGACACGCGACACAAATTACGGGATGCGGTCTCTCGCGGCTGCTCATGCGGCGAAGGTCGGCGGCGGGCACCCGACGCCGCCCACAGCGCAACAGTTTTTGGGGAAGGTGGATGCAGGTCCTGAGTGGTACCCTGGAAGGGCAAAGCCCAACGCTCGAGGCCCCAAAAGTTCCATCGCCCCACGGAGCCAGAATGCGGCCGCGCAAAATGCCATGTCCATGAGGAGACGCGGGGAGGAGCCCACCTACCCAGCCCTGGTGGCAGCGAACCCTGTAGCCCTGCTGAACCCAGCGACAGGCAAGCCAGTCGGCATGAAGAGAGTGCACGCCATTCTAAGAGAATGCTGCTACGACGACCCTGGCAACCCAGGACGCACGGTCGCATCGCGTTCGTTTCTAGAAGACTGCTCTGACCGCGGACAACATGGCGAAGCGTCGACGGCTCGCCGCGGGGCACCGGGAAGAGCAGCACTTCAAGAATCTAGCGTGGACGGATATCTGCAACAGCATCTTGGCGCGCACGGAGCAAAGACAGCAGATGATGACTCTGGCGCGCAGGTCGCAGAAGGCTGGATGAGCGCGGACAGCAAGGCGGAGTTGAAGAATTTGCCCAGTAAGAAAACTGCGCTGAAGCAGAATTCGCGGGGCGCAATGCGTCTCCGGTTGGCTCCGATATTGACTCAAGGCAAGCTGCACGTGGAGATCCTGGGAACAGACTTCCCGGGCGAAACTGCTGAAGGCGCGCGGCTCCTCGCCGGCGCAGTGCGGAAATCTCTGAACATCCGCTTCCAGCAGACGCCCGCGCCGAACGTGCTTTTCGTGGAAAGAGGCCCTGGCTTCTGGGCGACGAACTCAGGCAGTATCACGGGCGGATCCAAAGCAGCGCTGGAGAAGCACAACTTGAAGACCCATTTCAATGACGACGCCACGAAGCAGCCTGGGAACCTGCAGGGGGCGTTGCTTCACGACACTGCAGCGTCGTGGATCCGAAGAGAGGCCATGAATAGGATGACGAAGCCCGGGGAAGAAACGCCAGAGGAATTTGCGACGCGCCTGAAGGGCGTGGCCCAGGAGATCAACGACACCTTGAACGTTGACGGCCTGTGCCGCGCTTTCAAACAGCGGGCGCAGAAGCTCGTGGATCGCGACGGCGATCGGGTCGGCCACGGAGCGCACGCGCGCGCGAGCAGGCGCGGCCCCGATGTGGGGGCACATTTTCCAGCATTGCCGCAGGAGCCAGTCGCTATGTCATATTAGAAGCTGTCGCCATGTCGTTGTCGAGCCAACCGAGTGCGACGCCCTGGGAAAACGTTTACCTCGGTAAGAAAAAAAAAGCTCTCCAAGCTCTTCCCGCGCCCGGCGGTGGTGGACTCCCAGAACGGATGATGCAGGAATGATGGAGGTGCGATGCAGCAGTGAGCCCACGATGATCTGGACAATGCGAGAATGATGCAAGCCTTTGGAACCTGAAAATAAGCGGAAGCCTCCCAAGGGCTTCCCGCGCGTGGCCTTTCTGGGGCTCCCGGAACGGATGGTTCACGCGCGATTCAGGTGTGATTCCGTGGTGATTCAATAATGGCTCGGACTATTTTGGAATGATTCAGGGTTTGGGAACCCTAAAACCACGTGGGTTCTTGTTAGGGGGAAGACGATTCAAACGTCCCCAGTGGCACCTTTATAATAAAAAAAAGGAAACAAAGTCTTTTCGAGGCCACCCGCGCCCCTCGGCGATAGGAACAGGAGTGGCGTCTCTACAATTTTACCACCGTTCGGTTCTTTAGAATTTAAACACCGTGCGTGTCCGCGTGCGTCTGCGTGCGCCACGGCGGTGAGGCGCGAGTCCAGAGAGGACGACCGGCCGCGCGCAGGCGAGCGAGACCGCGACCGCGACCGCGACCGTAACCCGAGCGCGACGGGGGGGCCGTGGCGCAAACACGACGCCAAGGACTGGGACACAACAAAGAAGCGCTACTGGGACCGGACCCAAGACACAGGCTGGGGCTCGGCTAGCGCACCCTGGCGCCAGCCAGAATCGCGCAGCTCTCACTACAACGACGACCGCAACCACGCCGACACCAGCTGGTCACACGCCGCGCGCCACGCTGGATGGCAGCGCCTCCCAAACTAGACAGCAGTAACACACCTGAAGAGGTTGCAGACGGAAGGAGGATACCAGTTCAACGTAGCCCGGCATTCGTGGAGCAGACACAACTACAAGGAGCAGGGCAAGGGCAAGTCCAAAGACCAGGCGCCCTTCGACCCACGCCGTTGGCGGCATTGGATCATCGACAAATTCCTGGATGACATGAAGGCCAGCAACTACCAAGTGGACCGATGGTCCAGCAGCGCATGTGTCTACGTGGACTGGGAGCGGGAGCAGAAGCTCTATCAGGAGGTGCAGAGGAAAAGGGAGGTCGCTAAGGGTGACGGGCGCGACGGGGACCAGGCCCGCAGTTCCGGGTACTACGACACCTGGACTGAGAACCGCTCACGGCGCTGACTGCCGCCGGCCCTACCACACCCGGCCCGCTGCACCACGGCCCAACCTGCCCGCAACTCCCATTACCTGCGCCCCCGCCCCCCAACCACCCCACACCTCTCAACCTGCTTGGGACCACGTGTCCCCCTTCCTCCCCTTCACCTGATACCCCTCGCCCGTGTGGCGTCTGCTGGCCAAGCGTTGGCAGCCACCTGTTCACCTGGGCCTGCCCTCTCCTCCTCCTCCTCCTCCTCCTCCTCCTCCTCCTCCTCCTCCTCCTCCTCCTCCTCTCCTCCTCCCGTGTATCCAAGGAATTGGGACTCTGTGCCCCACCTGTATGCATCGGCTGATTGAGTCTCCCTGATCTGGGACTCTGTGTTCCCCCTGTGCCCAGCGTTGGCATTCACCTGTTCACCTGGGCCTGCTCTCTCATCCTTCTCCCCCCCTCCTCTCTTGTATCCAAGGAATTGGGACTCTGTGTCCTACCTGTACTCATCGGCCGAGCGTGATTCGAGGGCCTGGGACTTTGTGTCCCCCCTGTACCCATCGGCTGGACTTGACTCAAGGATCTGGGAGTCTGTGTCCCCCCTGTTCTTACCTGAGACGCGTTTGTACGGCGGCGACGTGCGTGGCACGCCCGCGCTGGGGCCTCGGGCCTTACCTGTGCGTATTGGGACGTGTCCCCACGCGAGCACCTCGTGCGCGTTGGTGGGACTCTGGCCGGCATGGGACGCTGGCCTCTCTCCTCCCTGCCCGCTTTTTCCTCCCCGCTCGCTCTCCCCCCTCCCATGGCGGCAGCGCCCGGCACAGCGCGACTCCGGCCTGGCGCTGGCTCTGCACCTTGCCGCCTCGGCGGCCCCGCTCACCCTGGGCAGCGCGACTCCGGCCCGGCCCACGGCAGGCGGACACAGTCGGCCCTCATGCCGAACCTCGTGGCTGCTACCTGGACGTGGATTGGACTACCACGTCATGCCGCTGCTGACCACCCAGTGGCACAACGTTGCACATCGATTTCGTGGTCGTCCGCATCTCCTGGGCCCCTTACCAGTCGGTGGCACCTGGTGCATTTCGCCTTCCTGGTCTTCCTCTACCTCGCGGACGTTGACTTGCTCACGGCCCTCCTCACGCAGCACTCGAGGATGGTGTTCTTGGCGCGCCGATGACGGCAACACCAATCCACTTTCCCTGTGGGACCGCGCCCCCTGATCCAGTCCATGGCGCACCTTGTCCTGTGCAAGATCTTCAGCACCGCCTGTTTTCTGAGCCCTCCGGCCGCCTGAGGCCCCGCCCGCCCGCGCCCTGTCTCCCCAATTAGGGACACCCGCGTCCCGTTTAGCTCTTGACCGGAAGGGGCCCGCTCCCGACCCGCAGACCAAAAAAAGTGTGTCTGTGTGCGCGTGGGTGCGTAATGTGCGCGTGCGTGGTGTTCACCGCCACAAGACCCAAAATTGAATCCTAAGAGGGAACCTGAGCCACTCTGTAAGGGTTCTTACGTCTGGTCTGAAGAACTGCGTGTTGGTCTGGCGGCTCCGTGCCAGCCGTCGCCCCCCCTTCCATTTCGCGCTCCGGAAGATACCTCCCCCCCCCTTGGACTCCCCCTGCCAGAAGCCCCCCCCCACCCTCATTTTTTCTGCCCCTCGCAAGCTACCCCACCCCTCCCCCCGCCCTAGAAGCTACCCCCCCCGTCCCTTCCCAAAGGGGAGGGGGGGGCTGAGCTACCCCCCCCCCCTCTTGAGTCCCCCTGCTGAAAGCCACCCCCCTCCCTCCCTTTTGGGCTAAGGGGGGGGCTTGGAAGGCCCCCCCCCAGACTAAAGGAAGGAGCGCCGAAGACCAACTGGACGCTGAAAACCAACAGGGCCCCGAAAAACAAAAAGCCACCGAAAACCGAAAGGGTGCGAAAACCAACGGGGCGCAGAAAACCGAAGGAACGCCGAAAACCGAAAAGGCGCCGAAAACCAAGGCGCGCCGAAAGCCAAGAGGGCGCCGAAAACCAAAGAAGCGCCGAAAACCAAAGAAGCGCCGAAAACCAAAGGGACGCCCAAAACCAAAAGGGCGCCGACAACCAAAAGTGAGTCGAAAACCCAAGGAGCGCCGAAAAGCAAATGGGCGCCAAAAACAAAAACGCGCCGAAAACCGAACGAACGCCGAAAACGAAAGAGGCACCGAAAACCAAAAAATGCTCCGAAAATCAGCGGGGCGAAGAAAACCAAAGAAGCGCCGAAAACCCATAGGGCGTCGAAATCCAGAGCAGCGCCGAAACCAAAAGGGCGCCGAAAGCCAAAGAGCACCAAAACCCAACAGGGCGCCACAAACCAAAGGTTCGCCGAACTTGAAAAGGACGCTGGAAACCAAAGGGGCGCCGAAAACCAATAGGGCGCCGACAAACAAAGGGTCGCCAAACACCCAAAGGGCACCGAAAACCAGAAGGACACCGACAACCAAAGGGGCGCCGAAAACCAAAATGGTGCCGAAACCAAAACGGCGCCGAAAACCGAAGGCGCGCCGAAAACCAGAAGGAGCGCCGAAAACCAAAGAAGCGCCGAAAACCAAAGGGACGCCCAAAACCAAAAGGGCGCCGACAACTAAAAGTGAGCCGAAAACAGTAGCGCCGAAAACCAAAAGAGCGCCGAAAAGCAAAAGGGTACCGAAAACCAAAAAGGCACCGAAAAGAAAAGGAGCGCCGAAAACCAAAGGCGCGCCGAAAACCACAAGAGCGCCGATAACCGAAAGGGCGCCGAAAACCGAAAGGGCGCCAGATAAGAAAGGGGCGCCGAAAACCAAGGGGGCGCAGAAAACCAAAAGGAGGACGAAAACCAAAAAAGCGCCGAACACAAAAAGGGGCGCTTAAAAGCAAAGTTGCGCCGGAAACCAAAAGGGCGCCGAAAACCAAAAGGACACCGACAACCAAAGGGGCGCCGAAAACCAAGGTGGCCCCGAAAACCAAAGGGGCGCCGAACACCCAAGGGGCGCCGAAAACCAAAAACAGCGCCGAAAACCAAAGTGGCGCCGAAAACCAAAGAGGCGCCGAAAACCAAAGGAGCGCCGAAAACCAACGATGCGCCGAAAATCAAAAGGGCGCCGAAAAACCAAAGACGTGTTCATCCCAGGCCCTCCAGCAGATCGTTTGATGGAGGCCTTCCAAAGTGGATCCGAAAGGATGGGGTCGGAGGATCGCGCCGCATCGCCGATGTATCGCCGATGCACCAGCGACGTCGGCGAGGAGAAAACAAGGGTCATCATCGAAACCCATCGCCGATACATCGGCGATGTGGCGCGATCCTCCGACACCACCTGCTCGGAACCCATCTGGGAGGCCTGGCCCTCCAGCTGCCCGCCTACCGAGCCACCCCAACCCAACCTGAAGTCACCGTTGTGCTCGTCGATTTCAGACGGTGGGGGCACACCAGAACATTGAGGAAACACGATAAAGCCCGTGCGTCCCCCAACCCGAAATTTGGGGTGGTCCAGGGCCTTCGGGTTGAGCGGGGGCGGCTTGGAAAGTAGTGACCAGGAGATCCCTCGAGCCCTGGCGTCGGCTCGCCGCGGCCAGCCGGCGTGTGCCGCCCGGCGCGGAGCGTCCCTCTGCCGCCGAGCTCCCTCGGCCCTCCCCGCGCGTGTCCAGGCGCCCGCGGGCCTAGCCGTCCGCCCCGGAGCGCGGCGAGAGCCGTTCAACCCACGCTCTTCGTGGCGCTCGCTGGGTGGCTCGTCTCAAGCCCCCGCGACGCCGACGCCATCAGCGAGATCGTCTCGGACGGGGCCCCAAACTTCTCGGCATCAGCTGCATGCCGTCCTCGAGTCGATCGTGCTAAGGATGGTGCGGCTTCGAGGGTGGCGTCGAGGTTAGCCCGCTGGCTGTCTGGAGGATCTCCCCAACAACGGGGCAAGGCCGCCCGTGCGAGGGTGGCTTTGCGTCCCGAACGGGACCTGCACAGGTGGCGCACCTCCGCTGAGCCCGAGCGGCTTCCGAAAGCTCCTCGCCAGATCCCTCCCCAGGGAGAAAGAATATCCGCGACCTAAGGCAAATGGTTGGGTACTGGATAGACGGGCAAGCGGACCCCATGAGCCACGTAACGACATTGCAAAGCTACACTTGAACCACGCACGCTGCGGGGGGGCTGCACAGCCTCCCCAAGGGTGGTCACATGTACGCGCATCAGCGATACTGGATGACCCGTCAGGGCCCTCACCCGCCACCTGTCCGGACGTGGTGCTGCGAAGCGCTGTGGCTTACGAACGGACAGCACATGCCAGTCATATGCGGGTGACCGTGCACCCGCCGCAGAGACCATCCTTTGGGCCTTCGAATTTGATTGTTATAAACGCAACAACAACACGGGTGAAAACCAATCTTAGCAGTGGATACACAAGGAAGCCAAAGCCGCAGCTGAAGGACAAACAGTTCTGCAGAATTCAACTCGAAGCCATGCCAGGAAGGTGTTCCAAACAGCATAATCGATGTGCGAGGTCATGGACGCGCTTGTACACGCTGTCACCTGGATACCTCAAGAATTGACGACTGTGTCCACTAGAAGATACAAGCTCCGCGCGGAAATATCATGACGGTGTACGCCGTATCTTCCACACTGCTTGTCCAGTATTGCACCTGGTCTGCGCACCTATATAAAAAACATCATGAATCGAGCACCCCGTCCAAAATCGACTGTACCGGATGCCGCGCACTGTGATAATGCTTCGCATCGCACAAATCCTGCAGCCCATAAGTTGTACGCTGCACCGCGTGCACTGAGGCACAGCCAACAACAGCGCTGTACGTGTGGCGTGCATCGACTCGACATTTATACCTCGACGTCTCGGAGTCACTTCTGGTTCACGTAGCCCGCGCTCATTTGCACCCGCGGACCTTAGCGGCAGGAAGATTCTGAAAAGACAAGCCGAAATCATTGTTGGCGGCCTCGTCACGATGGTGTCTAATCCTCATCCCCCTCCTCCATTTCTCCTCTCCCCCCTTCCCTTCTCCTCCTGTGCCCCGTTGCAACCCGTACCACAGCCCACAGCCCCGTACCACAGCCCACAGCGCACCAGAGGATTTATTAACCAAGCATGGCCGCGATCCAGACCCAGCTGTCAAAAAACAAAAAAAAAAAAAAAAAAAAAAAAACTCATCATCCATTCCCATCCCGAACAACTTCTGGAACGCCTTAAGCCCCTCAGAGCCCACAAAAGAAACCCTCGGCGCCCTCCGCCTCCACCCCTCTTGCTTGTAGGAGACTCCCCGTCGCACCGACAGCACCATCTATCCCAAATGAACCTTCGGGACAACGATTGATGGACAAAATCCTGCACCGTCCGCGCGACCAGGGTGCCGGCACAAACTTCAACGCGCCCCCCTGCACATCGCCGCGCAGCCCGCCAACATCAAATTGGGGGAGCGGGGGTTGTTCACAAAAGTCAGCATAAAAAGTGGAGCATGTCGTCCATCCACCGAAGGGCCTTCGCAAGACTTGTAGGACGCCTCGCTCGTACAGTCTGCGCACAACCTTCGCTGGGTAATCTGGTCACGGCGGGCTCACATCGTGGTGACATCCCCGCGGCTTTCCCGCACCGAGCAAATCATTCAACCGATCGCACGCAACGATTCCGTGCCACTGGCGGCGCTCAACCTTGAACACCCGCGCTGGGGCCACCTCCGCGTGAGCGCGTCGCCAACCTGCCGTAATCCTACCGTGCCGAAGGCTCCCGAGACGGGTGTGAGCTGCAGGCCAGATCCCAAGCTCTGATCAGACCCTGAACTAAGAGCCGCTGCCGCTCGGATGACTCATCTGTACCTGGACAGCGGAGGCTTCTACAGGCCCTCCCCATTCCATGCCCCCCCCAGCTGACCGTCCCCCGATCCCGCCGGCTCCCGGCGCGCCTCGTTGGCACAGCACCACTCCTGCTTGGCCTTGGACCAGCCCGCCCTCCAATTGTTGTAGCCCGCCTGGCAGTCGTACGGAGGGCTCGACGTGGTAAGGCACACGGTCTGCTCCTCGCAGCACCACGTTTTCTGCTCCAACGGCCACGCTCCCTCACCGCGGCCGTACCCCGTCTCCAGGTCGGTGCAGTCGAAGTCGGCCGCCCCAACGTCGGTGCGGTCGGGCTTGGCCTTGCCCAGGGAAGTGCGTCTCGTCGCCTTGCCGGTGGTGCTCCTCGCGGCATGGCTGCTGGACCGAGGCGGCTTGGACGGCTGGACCGAAGTGGTTGGACGGTCTACGCAGATCTGATGGGTGTCGCAGCAATACTTCAGCTTTGCCACCGACCAGTTGTAGTCCGTTGTGGTATCCAGGCAATCATACGTAGCTGGCTCGGACGTCGTCACGCTGGCCTTGGTGGAAAACGCCGATGTGGACGGGCGGGTCGCCGCAGACGATGTTGAAGCACGCGTCGTTGAGCTATGGGCGGCACTGCTTGTCGAACAGCCGATGAGGGCGTTCTCGCAGCACCAGCGCTTCTTCTTGTCGGACCATTCCTCATCCCAACGTGATTCGGCACACGAAGAGCGGAGATACGAAGATCGAAGAAAGAAGACCTGTACGGATGCCAAAAACTGATATGCGGTCAAAGGTCCCAGCATTCCACTCTCGACGGGCACGAAGAACTGGGAATCCGTCATCGTTGGAAGTGTGGTGTGAAGAAAGGATGGACGAGGAAGAGAATGACGGACCCCGATAGGGCCTCCAAAATGGCACAATGATGACACAAGTGAGCTGCCAACAGGCTCCCATACCGAAGGCCCGCGAAAGCACTTATGGTTGACAGCTGGGCCTGCTCAGGCTGATCCCGACCTTCGGTTTGACGGCTGTCCATCCTTGTTGTTCCACTGCGTGCTCCCACACATCCCTGATCAATGCAACTCGCCTGGGCATCGCTGCTGGATGGGATGGTGGGGATATTTTTTTGATCGCGACCGCGGCGAAAGAGGTCGGGCGGCGTCCAAGAGCAAAGCACACGGGCAACGGCCTAAATTTGCGCACTGGAAGAAAGAGGGGCGAAAAGAGACGCAAGGACAAAAAAACGAGAAAGGCTGGCGGGAATACTTTTTGATCGCGACCGTAGCGACACATCGCTCGGCGTCAACACAATGCGCAGCTATAGAGGCTTCCTAAATGAGGTCGGAGCAGGTGGAGTCGGAGGAGCGCACCGCCTCCCCGATACATTGGCGACGCATCGGTGATGCATCGGTGATGCACCGGCGATGCATCGTCGACGTCGGCGATGCATCGGCGACGTCGACGTAAATCAAATCGGGCCCCACATCGAGGCGCATCGGCGATGCATCGGCGATGCGGCGCGATCCTCCGACCCCATCTGCTCCGACCCCATCTGGGAGGCCAAGAAGCTAACGAGCAGCGAGCTAAATTAGGCCCTAATCGACAGGAGCGCTGGTGGGGATACTTTTTTTCGTTCGCGAGCGCAAGCGGTAGAGCCGCGCGCCGTCGCAAGGGTCAAGCAAGCAGGCTGGTGGGGATACTCTTGGTCTGCGGGCTCGCGAAGCAAGTCGAAAGCCGTCCGATCACTAGCCGGGCCACGACTAGCCAGCAAGAAAGAGAGGGGCAAGCGAAGCGAGCGCGCGGGCAGCAACGCAGAAGTGCACCATGAGCGGCACTCCCAACCCGGTGGCGTGGAAATCCCGGTGGCGACCGCTGGTGGGGATACTTTTTAGTCAGCGGCCGCGGACAACGTTCATACAAACGGGTAAGGATACGTACGACAATCACGACGGGCAGCATCCCTCTCCTCCCCCAGTTGACGACGAAGCAAGCGAGCATGTCCAGGGCTTGGGTGGGTAAGAGCACAAGCTGTCGAGGAGACGGGGCAGAGCTTCTACGCAGAGAGAAGTCAAAAGAAATTAGCACAGCCTTCTGCCACAAGGGTGTGTATGTGTCGCCGGTGGAATGAGACTATTCCTCGTCTTTTCGCTAGCTCAGTTTGCTCGAAGTCAATATGTGAGAGAAAGAGAGAGAGAGAGAGAACAAAAAAAAAAAAAAAAAAACTGCTAACGATCCACCCCTCCATGACGGGGAGCCATCCTGCCCCCTATCCGTCGTGTTCCATCATCCTCGTCTCCCTCACTCATGCACCCACGCATCTTCTTCATCACCTCCTTAACATCATACTCGTCGTCATGACATCATCATCGCCATCACCCCCATCATCCACACAGCCATCGCCGTCAGCATCACCACGGTAATAGTCCGCAAAATGATCCTCGTCCTCATTGTCATCAACGTCCCCCATCGGCATCATCACCACGACCATCCTCTTCGAAATCATGAACTAAAACAGGATAATCGTCATCAAAACCATCATCATCACCATCATCCGCACCATCATCTGCATCACTATCATCAACAGCATCATCATCACCATCACAGCCTCCATCAGCATCATCTCCAGCATCATCACCATCATCATCGTCATTATCATCCACATGTCTGTCATCATCAGCAGCATCATCATCGTCAACATCATCGTCAACATCACCGTCATCACCATCATCAACCTCATCAGCATCATCGTCATCATCATCACCATCCTCAGCATCATCAGTATTATCACTAGTGTCATCGTCATCACCAGCATCATCATCGGCATCGTCATCGTCATCGTCATCATCATCAATATCATGAACCGCATCATCATCCTCATCAAATTCAACCTCACCATCGTCATCTGCCTCATCATCAGCACCATCATCAGCATCATCATCACCATCATCCTCCCCATCCTCATCCTCATCCTCATCCTAGTCCTCATCCTCATCATCATCCTCCGCCTCATCGCTATCATCCCCATCAACATCATCATCATCATCATCATCACCACCACCACCACCACCACCACCCGCCATCTGCCATCCGCCATCCGAGATCCAGCGTCCTCATCCATCCACCATCGTCTTCCTCCCAATCCTCTCCCCCATACTCATCCCTTCCTCCTTGTCAAAGCTGGCCAGACTCTGGGCATCGAGGCTCGCAGTGTGCGTGTGGAAAGCGCACGGGCTTAAAACACGCCCACCTAGTCAGTAAAGGGGGTTATGGCCGAGATGTCTAGAGATGAAGGAAGCCGAAAGAGGAAGGTGACCCTCCTCCCCATCCCTCACCTCGTCCCCCTACGGACGGAGAAGGCGAGCAGGGCGAATCGGCGGCGAGGGCGGCTTGCCAGCGGGCCCGAGGCCGAGATGCCGCCCGATGCCGCGGCCCAGCGTCCTGCTCCCAGCGCGACGACGCGGTCGAGCAGTCGTGCGCCTCTCGCCGAAGGGGGGCTGAAACACGGGCAGCACGACGTTCACCACAACCACTCAGGAGGAGGAGGAGGAGGAGGAGGAGGAGGAGGAGGAGGAGGAGGGGGAGGAGGAGGAGGAGGAGGAGGAGGAGGAGGAGGAGGAGGCGGAGGCGGAGGAGGAAGAGGAGCAGGGGAGGGCGAAGAGGGGATCATTCTCCTTCTCATCATCCTCCACGTGGGAATTCGCGCGCAGCTTAGAACCTAAGGTTTTAGTGGGGGGTGCCTGGGAGATGAGCTGGCAGACGCTGACAGAAGATCGCTTCCAACTTCAACTAATCGGTTTTTGTCACCCCCTGGAACCGGCGCCATCCTCTCCTCCCAGGCCATCTCCGCTGGGGTCGTCGACTACCTCGACGGGCCTTATTTCGCCAGGCCCTGCCTCGGCGACATCAACGTCGCCTGGAGCGGGAACAGCTGCGGAACGCGGCATTCTCGTCGCGCCGGGCTTCTTCTCGCCGAGGGCGACGGCATCTCCCGAAACGCCGTCTCCGGAGATTTCGTATTGCAAGTAAGATGGAGTCTACTCAAAACGATAACGCGAGTTATGTCGGCGGGTGCGCGGGCGGGTTCGCGCCAGCCAAATAACGCGCGTTACGTTTACGACGTTGGGATTTTAAGAACACGGGAAAACATCGAATTCTGGCAGAAGTTCGACCGAGCGCAAAGCACTGGGCCCAGCGCGACCTCGGACCTTCAGGATGAATTTCCCAAGTGCTTCGTAGCTCGCAAGCAATATTTGCGGCCCATCTGAAGATTAGCGTTGGATGACGCGCGGCGAAGCTGAGGAGTAAATTTAAAATGGGTGGCGCACCCCCCCCCCGAATTCGGAGTGGGTCTCGGCGCGGGGCTGAGACTGCTGAGACTAGTCGTTTGCGGCCCCATTCGAAGATTTGCCACAGAGGCCGCGCGGCGAACGGGGGGGGGGGGCTGGGCGCCCTAGATTTCAGGAGCGACGCGCGGCTTTGGAACGAGTTTTCTGCGATCCCTCGAATTAGAAATTGATTTTGGCAAGGGCGGAAGTGACTTGTTGGCGAGCAAAATGCGCGGATCGCTCGAAAATTTGCCCCAGGGGCCCCGCAATGAAATCCCGAAGCGCCAGCGGGGGGAGCGATGGGGGGGGCGCGCGAGGGGGGCGTTGACTGAGAGGAAACAAAAATTTACGGGGGCACATCGAACACTCCCCAATCAGAGCTTACCTCTGTAGGGGTCCTAGCGAATTTCAGGGTAGATGAGGTGCGCCGCCGATTCGGTGGCCCGGCCCGGGCGCCCGGGTGCCCGGGTGCCCGGGTGCCTGGGTTCGCCGCCCATTCGGCGGCCGGGCCCGGGTGCCCGGGTGCCCGGATGCCTGGGTGCCCGGGTGCGCCGCCGATTCGGTGACTGGGCCCGGGTGCCCGGATGCCCGGGCGCCCTGTAGCCCTATAGCCTTTTAGCCCTATATACCTATCGCCCTATAGCCCTATAGCCCTATAGCCCTATAACCCATGTAGCCATATAGCCATATAGCCCATATAGCGCCCAAGAGCCCACATAGCCCTGTAGCCGTATAGCCCCACAGCCCTAAAAAAATATGGTTGGGGTTTTTCTCTGGTATCATTATTTTTTCGTGCATTTATAATTCGTAGAGCAACTAAAGATGTAGTTGCACTGCCGGGCGCAACAGAAAATGATTTTCATCGGCGGGCGCGCCGCAGCTGCGACGACGCCCGCGCGCGCGACGCCAGGGGCAGGAGGCCCGGGCCAGCAAGGAAAAAAGGAATCATAATGCAATTAGTTAAGGAATCGCAAGAATCAAAAGGAATCTCGCTTTCTTGCTTACGACGCCAGGTCTGGGCCAGGGGGGGGAGAACCGAGACTGGAAATCTTTATTTGGTGAGCGAAAATGCAAGAAAGAAATTCCGCTGTTTCGCGTTTTTCGCTCGCTCGTTCTTTTTGTTGCCCTTTGTTTTTGTCGCGCGACGCCGGGGGCCCCGGGCCGAGAAGCGAAAAACTGAGTTAGAAAGGAATGTGAAAAGAAATTCCGATAGTCAGCAAGGAATTTCGCCTCGTCCACGACGCCGGGAGGTCTGGGCCGGGGAGGCGAAAAGACGTTAGAAAGGAACATGATCAGGCATTTCCAGAATAAGAAAAGAATATCGCTCCTTTTGCGACGCCGGAACGCCTGGGCCAAGAGAAAAAGGAGTTAGAAAGGCACTTCGCGTTCGTTGGGGCGCGACGCCAGGAGGTCTGGGCCAGGGGGGGAAAAGGAGTTCGAAAAGAGTTTGACAAGGAATTTCCTGGGCTCGAAGGGAATTTCGCTCGTTCCTTTCGTTCTCTTTACAGCGCTGGGACGCGCGGGCCGGGAAGGGAAAAAAGAGTTAGAAAGGGGCGTGATAAGGAATTTCCAGAGTTAGAAAAGAATTTCGCCCATTTTGTTTTTGCAAGACGCCGGGGGGTCCGGGCCAGGAAGGACAAAGAATTATAAAGAAATGTGATCGGGACTTTCCAGGGCACGGAAAGATTCCGCGTTTCTGTCGTTTCCTTTCTCGCTGCGACGCGGGGGGGGGCCCGGGCCAGGGGGGGGCAAGGGAAGAATGCGATGGGAGATTTCCAGAGTTAGACCAGAATTCTGTTCCATCTGTATATATAGATATATATACACACACATACATACATACACACACACACCACACACACACACACACACATACATACATACATACATACATACATACATACATTCATAGATACATACATACATACATACATACATATATACATACATACATACATATATACATACATACATACATACATACATACATACATACATACATACATACATACATACATACATTACATTACATTACATTACATTACATTACATTACATTACATTACATTACATTACATTACATTACATTACATTACATTACATTACATTACATACATACATACATACATACATACATGCGTGCATGCATACATACATACATACATACAACATACATACAGACATACATACATGCATACATACATACATACATATATGCATGCATGCATGCATGCATGCATGCATGCATGCATGCATACATACATACATACATGCATACATACATACATACATAAATATACACACATATATACACGTACACATATATATACACACATGTATGATAAAATGAGGCCCGGGCCAGGAAGGAAAAACACAAGGAGCCATTGAGGAATGTGATGAGGAATTTCCAAAGCTAGAAAAGGATCTCGCGCTTTCTCTTGATTATTCTGCCCCCGGGAGGTCTGGGTCACGAAGGCAAAGAGAAGTTAGACGATAATTTGACGAGGAATTTCCAAAGTCAGAGAGGACTTCCGTCTCTTTTGCGACTCCAGCAGGTCTGGGCCAGGAAGGGAACCACGAGTTAGGAATGAACGCGATAAGGAGTTTCCAGAATTACACTGGAATGCCGATTTCTGTCTACGACGCCAGGAAGTCTGGGCCAGGAAGGGAAGAAGGAATCACTGTAGGAAGAAATGCGATAAGGAATTTCCAGGTCTAGATCAAAGCATCGCCATCTTGTCCACGGCGCCTGGAGGCCCGGGCCAGCCAGAGCAAAAAAAAAAGCTAGCAAGGAATGTGATAGGGACCTCTCAGAGTTAGACAAGCATTTTGATTCCCAGGGTTAGAAAAGCATTTTGGATTCCCAGGAACGCGCGGAAAAAAAAAACTTCTCAAGGAATTTGATTGTTTTGCGCGCGTTCCTCTTTCTGTTCTCGCCCGTTGTTTTGCGCGAAGGCGGGGGGTCCGGGCCAGGCGAGAAAAAAAGGAATCAGAAAGGAGTTCGATATGGAAATTCCCGGGCCAGAAATGAATTTCGCTTTGCATTCGCGACGCCGGGGGGCCCCGGCCAGGAAGGAAAAGGGGGGGTCAGCGAGGAATTTGACACGGAATTCCCCGAATTCCCAGAGTTAGAAAGGAATTTCGCCATTTAACGACGCCAGGAGGCCCGGGCCAGGAAGGAAACAGGGAGTTAGAGAGGAATTGGATCAGGAATTTCCAAAGTTAGACAGGAATTTCGCTCTTTCTGTTTTATCTGCTACGCTGGGGGGCCTCGGCCAGGGTGGAAAAGAAGGAATTAGCACGGAATGCGATGAGGGAATTCCAAAGCTAGAAAAGAATTTAGTTCACTTGAGTTGTTCGTTTTTTGAGGGAGCGCGGGCGCCCGGGGGCTTGGGCTAGGGGGGATAAAATGAAGTAGAAAGGAATTGGATGAGAATTTATCGAGCTGGGAAGGAATTTCGCAGTTTTCATTGTTTTCAGACGACGCGGGGAGGTCGGGGCCGGGAAGGAAAAAAGGAATTCGAAGGGAATGCGATTGGGAGATCCCAAGTGTTAGACAGGAATTTCGCGCAGTTTTTTTAGCGACGCCAGGGGGGGTCTGGGCCGGGAAGGAAAAAAAGGAGTTCGGAAGGAGTCTGATCATGAATTCCCTGGGCTCGAATGGAATCTCGCTTGTAGTTCGCGACGCCAGGAAGTCTGGGCCAGGAGAGAAAAAGAAGTTTGGAAGAAATTTGATCAGGAATTCCATGAGTTAGAAAGGAATTTCTATGTTCTACGGTCCAGGACGGAAAAAAAACGAAACAGCCGAGAATTTGGTGGGGGATGTCCAGGGTTAGAATGGGACTGCGACCCCTTTTCCTCGCGCGCTCGCTCTTGCCGCGCCCCCGCGATGCCGGGGGGCCTGGGCCGGGGGAAGAAAAAAAAAGGAATTAGAAAGGATGTTGATATGAATTCCCAGGGTCGGAAAGGAATGTCGCTTTTTCGTTTTTTTCCGACGCCAGGAGGAGTTAGAAAGGAATTATCAAGGAATGTGCCAAGGACATTACAAAATTAGACGGGAATTTTGAATACTAGAGAGAATTTTGAATCTCGGCGGCAATCGTACCGTCATTGCCTGGGGAGCGCCACGGCCAGGAAAGGAAAAAGGAATAAG